GGACCGATTTCTTTCAAAAATACGTCAAAAGATCACAAATCGTATCTAGTTGAAGACATTACCCTTAAAAATTGAAAAAAATTCCCTCGTTCCCCGCAAATGGGGGAAATATCCAAAAAAATTACAAATTTAAAAATCGCTAATTTTCGTAATTTTTTCACTTTTTTTTCTTAAAACTTCCATAACTTTTTGAAAAATCAACAAATCAACATAATTTTTTTTTATACTAAAACATTAGAAATTTCCCTTTCGTTTGATATCATTTTGTTGAAAATCTAACACTTAACCTGCTCATGGGGGGGGGGATTTAAAATAGCAACTTTTTCAACTTAATTTTTGAAAATGTTCCGGAAATACTGCGTCCTTTAAACATATATCAAATTAAAGCTTATTTTATGTACTATAAAATAAAATAAAAAAATTTGTCCCGACGACCTATCTTCTATGCGCAAATGGCTACCGTATTCATAAATATGTTATTTTAATAATTTTTTTTTTTTTAAATTAAACACTATCTACAGATTTGCATCGAAACGTTTTTTATGATAGTGATTTTAATCACTGTCAGATATCATCTATACTGGACCCAACTATGCCACGACCCCACTGTGCCGCCACCCCACTGTTCTGGGTTTTTTATATAGCTTAAGAGATGTTCCGTTGCTATAATACCGTAACATTTTTCTTTTTTAATAATATAAAGCTCTATCATGTTTGCCGAAAATCATTCAATTTTCGGCCTTAACGTCCGATAATTTCTAAAAATCGAAATTTTGGATAGTTTATTTGTAGATTGATAAATTGTAATGTGTTGATATTCCTTTAATATACATAACACATCAAAATCAACTTTTGGTTTTAAGTTCGATTAGAAAAGAATATGATTATCCGATTTTTAGGAATTATCGGACGTTATGCCAAAAATCTTATAGGTATAAATGATAGATTTTTTAGTTTTTTGTATAGTAATTGAATACTTGGAATTATTCCAAATTATTTCAAATTAAAGCTTGTTTAATGTACTATATTATTAAAAAATGATAGCACAGTTGGGTTGCAGCACAATGTGAAAAAGGCATAGTAGGGACAAGTATATATGATATAATAAGAAACGCTTCGATGCAAATCTGTAGATAGTGTTTACTTTTAAGAAATTGATGGATTTTTCAAAAAGAAATCTTATTTCCTTATTTATATCCTGAATACAAGTTTTATAATTTGTAAGTGTAATTTATAAATAAATATTTATTATAGTAATTAAATATAGAATGAAATTGATATTTAATAATTTAGTATTGTAATTCTAAAAAATAGAAAATTTAATTCCTTATAAAATTTTCTATTTAATGATATAAATTCTAAATTTGCAAGTTGAGCTAAATTGCGTTTAATAGTTCAATATTTTTAAACTATATACTTTCATAAAATTCAACTCTAAAGAATCAAAATAATAAGTTAAAAATGTCATTTTTACTTGAAATTTTACACGGATTGTTTTCAACATATTAAAAATTAATTATAACTTGATAAAAAAAATTGTTTAAATTAATTTGTTCATGTGTTTCTAATAAGTAACAATCTCAAAAAATGGGTGATTGAAAAAATCTAATTTCAGACTTGAAATCTTCTTCTTCTTCGCCTTAATCCCAACTACTTGGGGTTGGCCACCCTTATCCTAAACTTCCACTTGACACAATCTCCCACATCATCTACGCTCACATCAGCTGTCCTCAAATCGCATTCAATAGCATCCCTCCATATATTTTTTGGTCTTCCTTTAACTCTTCTTCCTTCAACATTCATTTCTATAACTGTTCTTACATCTTTCGATTCCTCTCTCCTCATAACATGACCAAACCATCTAAGTCTAATTTCTCTCATCTTTTCCACGATTGACGCTACACTTATACTCCCTCTTATATGNTTCCACGATTGTCGCTACACTTATACTCCCTCTTATATGCTCGTTTCTTATCCCAGCTTCTCTAGTCACCCCACTCATTCTCTGCTTTACTCTATTATCAACTGACCAACACTCTGAACCATAGATCATAGCTGGTTTCACTACAGTCTTGTAGAATTTACCTTTCAGCCTCATTAGAATTTTTTTATCGCATAAGACGCCAAACGCTTCTCTCTACTTCAACCACCAGCTCTTAATTCTGTGTCTTACATCCTCGTCAATACCACCACTCTTTTGCACAACTAAATACTTAGAACTCTCCACTTCTTTAATCACGTCCTCGCCTATTGTCACTGACCTCCTCATTTCACCTACCTTGTGTTCTCCTTTGTCATACTCGTACTCTATATACTTTGTCTTACTCCTACTTGTTCTTGGACCTTTTTCTTCAAGAGTTAATCTCCATAAAATTCTAGCCTTTGATTATTTTCCTTTCTATTTTCTCCTATTAACACTATATCGTCGGCGAACAACATGCACTACGGCACCTCTCCTTGTATTTCTCTAGTAATTTCATCCATCACTATAGAGAATAAGTAAGGGCTTAAAGTAGAATCTTGTTGCACTTCTACTCTTACTCGAAAACCTTCTAATACTCCTACGCTTTTTACCCTGGTACAAGTGCCATCATACATATCTTCTATTATATTAATGTACCTTTTAGGGATTTCTTTTCTCATTAATGCCTACTTTAAAATCTCTCTCAGTGCTCTATCATACGCTTTCTCCAAATCTATAAATACCATACACAGCTTTTTCTTCTTTTTCCTAAACTTTCCTATTAGTTTCCTCACACAAAATACTGGCTCCATCGTTGACTTACCAGGCATAAATCCAAACTGGTTTTTAGATACCGATGTCTCATTTCTTATTCTCTTATCTATTACCTTATTCCAAATTTTCCTGCTATAACATAAGCTTTATGCCTCTATAATTTTCACACTCCTGTATGTCATCTTTACCTTTAAATATCGGCACCTTTTTCTCATTAATGCCCACTCAGAACCTCTCTCGGTATTCTACCGACAATTTCAAACTTGAAATCAGGGTATAAATTTGGTTTATTAAAGTATATATAATCATTAAAAAATATTTTATTTTACTGTGTAATTCAGTATAAAAACGAATGTAATATTCGTTTTTATTAATAAATAAATTTATATTTTAACTCATATTAATTTAGAGATTTTATATTAAAATTTTTTTTTGAAGTGAACATTTTTTACGATACCATAATTTTAAGTAGTTTGACTGAATTTCTAAAATTATAAATAATTTTCAATATTTGGTGATTATAAAGGTAATATCTTTTACTATATATTAGTTGTAATCATTTGATCATCGTTAAAAAAAAAAACATATAATAAAATATTTTAACATGAATAATAACTGTTTCTCACGAATAGTAAGACTACAGTCTAGGTGAGATTACAGTGGTGGGATCCTTGATATTTATTGAAGTTATTCAATTTAATTAAGATAAAAATTAAACGAATTATGAATATTTTTTCACCTCAATAAAATAATTAAGAAAAAATGAAAAAAATGTTATTTTGATGAAGGGGGTTCGAACTTCGTGCCCCAACCGTATAAAACTGTATTATATTATACGCAGCCATTATGAATTACACGGGTATTAGCTAAAAATGACAATTTAAGATAGATCTAAAATTTAAAGCAGTTTTTCTTAACTTTGAGGAGGCAAAATAATCGAAACAAGTATAAATTTATATTTAATGTAAGTTAGATTCATGTAAATCTTATATTTATTGGTGGACTCATTACTAAGACAAACCCTTATAAGATATTTTTAAATAAAATTTGAACACAAAAATAGCATGTTTTTTAACTACCGAAATCATTTACACATAAAAGATAGGTCGCCGGGATAATTTTTTTTTTAATTTATAGTACGTAACATAAGATTTAATTCAATATATGTTTAAGGGACGCAGTATTTC